GGTCAATTAAGTCGCGATGTTATTGGTCGTCTGTCAGTTAAGCCGTGATGTTATTGGCTATGAAGACTCGTGGTGTCATTGGTGCGTTTCGATCCATGTCACAGTTAAAGAGTCCTTTATTGTTAGTCCAATTGTCGGACGTTGTCCGGTCTTTCTCTCATAGCTAATTTTGCTTGAGTCCGTCCATAAGCCTTTTTTACTGTGCCGGTAACTATTGACTACGATTCAGTGGCGTTTGTTCTAAGTTATAAATGTTCCAATTGTAAGATGCGTGACCGATATTATTTATTTTAAGGTCTTATAGCTCTTCGAAGTTTGGACGGATTTCACGGGAAGAAAACTATATTATAATAGCATTCTTTTAACTTGGTGCATGGTTTATTTGGAACTGTGAGAAGGGAAAGTGTGGGTGAAAACTAGAACATCGTTTGAAGAAGAAAACAAAACTTAACAATGGGAAAAACAAAGGATTTAAAGAAGAATTCAAAATCGCAACATTATAACAGTGTAACATAAACTGAAGCGGATTACAGTACTTATGGTGAAGGATTGCTAATTTCACAAGCCGCTCATTTTAAACAACAACAAACTTTCATTGAATGTATGAGGCTTAATCTACAGTCGACTCCCGCGATAACTCGAACCTCGCGCTAATTCGATCGAACCAAAATCGATTTCCCCAGGGTTTCCTTCATACATTTACTGTAATTTCACCGTCGATGACTCGAACCTCCCGCTAACTCGAAGTAGTTTTTGTGACCCCTCAGATTGTTTCCATATTATTTTACCTTCGATAACTCGAGCCATGTTTTGAGCGCTTATTATAACAGGTAAAAAAAAAGGTGCACTGGTGTCCGAAACATTGAGAAGACAAGAATGTTAAACATTTGCAAATGTGACGAAAAAAGTAACAAAGTTAGCATATTCTACTCAGTTATTCTTTGCTTGAGCGTGCTTATACCTTTGGGCCAATCTGGTCTTGACACTTCTCTAGTCCTGTCCTTTTCATTTAAAACGCCCGCTTCAGATTGTTTTTGTCGACACTGGCGTCTAAATGGACGTTCTTTGAGTGTTTGCTAAATGCTAGTCTGAATACTACTCCAGCCGATAATGTTAACTAACATGTATGAAAAGTGCTTTAAACACATTTATATATTACATTTGCATGATATTTTGCTATTTACCATTTCTAATAGTTGCATATTTATCTACCACTTCGATAGACTGGGACGCAAAGTGGTGTTTAGCGGACACTGTGGTGTTCTTGCACTCGTCAATGAATCCGTTTTTGGTCTGTTGGCGTAATCGTCAAATCCGAAGGTCGGCGTTAAAAAGATAATGCAGAAGACGATGGTAAATAAACGGAGGGAGCTGACTCGGTAGTGTGGTCTCGCATAAAAGTTAATTATGAAGAATTTCCTCCCATGTAAGGGTAAGGGTATCTAAGACAGTGTTGGATTGTGGATTCCATGCCGTGGATTCCGGATTCCGGAACCTCGGGATTCCAGGCTTTGTAACTAAAGTGGAACTTGGATTTTCCAATCGTTAGGAGGATTCCGGATTCCACAAGCAAAAATTTCTGGATTCGATCCGGATTCTACAAGCAAAAATTTCCAGGATCCTCACCATTTAAATTAGATGTCAGGTAACGACTTAGAATACTTAGCTCTCAGGTTGTAAGTTTATAAACGACAACCACAGTCTAATTTCATTGTAGTAATACAAAACATGTCATTACATATCCACGTTGTAGGTCAGGCCAGTTCTTTTCCACCAATTTGAGTATACCTATACCTGTATAGTTAGCGAAATGGATTGGACCCAGCATAAGAGAAGCGATCTAGGGGTAGGGAATGGGGAGAAACAATAGATTTTGTTTTACTTTAAAGGTGGAAATGATTTCTTCAGACTGCTTTTTTGGCGAAAATGGGTGGAAATAAATATATTTATATCTTAATAATTTACTGGGAAACTTTTGTTTTGCTTTTGCACCACGCCTTAAGAACACTACAGGCACCATCACTAACCTGAGTCTATTTAGTTTTCATTATTTTTTGTTTTTTTGTTTTGTGTGCATAGTTTAGAAAAGACAATCAGTTCAGTGACCACACAAGTAGTTCATAATGACCACAACAGTAGTTCACCGATAGTAGACTAAACAAACGGGGAAATAGGATAAAATACATTAGATTTTTTTCACTATGAATGTAGCATCAACTAAGTGGTGAATACTCATTTAGCGATGACACAAAAATTATATTGAGAATTATCTACGGCAGAATGTTAGTTAGTTCTAGCGAGCTCACTATAGTTAACAGGAACATAGACTGATGGCAATTTAAAAGTTAAATAGTCTGCTCAGAAGGTCTGTCATTCTCATCAGGGGCGCAGTGAAATTAGACCTGTTAGGGAGCTTTAGCATCGACGACAGCGACGGCAGCGAAAAAGTCACTTTTAAAATGAATTCGCGTTTTTCAAACTTTGTCGCGTTTATTCCGATTCGCCGAAAATGCCAAATGTAGGCGAATTTTCCTGGAGTTGATTTCTTGAGGGCCGCACTTAAGTTAAGAAAGAGAAAGAAAAATTCGTTGTCGCTTGTTTACGTCCTAAATAAAACGAGAAATTAGGCATTTTCACGCAGTAGTCGTGAACAGTGACGGCAAAGAAATGACAAAAAAAGCGTGATGCACGTGCAAAGATGTTGTTTTGCTTCAAAAACCTTTTTTTTTTCTTACATTCTCGTTGCCTTCGTCGTCGTCTTTGCTAGAGGTCCCTATTTACAATCGGCTCCTGCCTGGACTCATGCGATGAATGTTTTATGCACTGTTTAAATAATTGCGCGTCAATAAAAGCGTATTAGACAAAGTATGGCTAAATTAAGTTTTAATTAATGGCAAACAGAGTAAGGCTTTTTAAAGAGTCAAACAGGTGCCAGTTACACCACTAGGATAAATTATGAATAACGGCTGCAAAGTCACCGTGTCTTTTTTTAAAGGAAACTTGACGTGCATCAACAAAAGTTAAAAAAGAAATTTAAGATGCTAAACTACTCCTTTGTCAAAAAGAACGGAACAAAACGCGACAACATGGGAAATGTGGAGAACAGTTCTAACTTGGAAACTGTTGTCGTCATAAATTGCATCCTCAATGTTCCACTAATATTCACATCCATCACTGGTAATGCTTTGGTGTTGGTCGCCATCATGAGAACTCCTTCGCTTCGTTCGATACCGTCTACAATCCTCCTATGCAGTCTCGCTATTACAGATTTTCTTGTTGGGCTAATTGTCCAACCTGTTTACATTGCCAATGAACTTCACCATTCAACTGGTGGGCCTCTTGCCAAAGTCGAAGAATTTATGTCTTTTTTCCTCTGTGGTGTTTCCCTCACAACAATAACAGCCATAAGCGTAGATCGACTTTTAGCTCTCCACTATCACATGGCGTATCCGAATTTAATGACAACAAAACGTGCATTATATGCCTCAGCAAGTCTCTGGTTTGTTTCCATACTTTTACTATGCCTTAAAGTTTGGAAATCAGAAGTTGTTTTTCTTATTGCAGGAGTGTATATCACAATTTGTTTAGTCATTTCGTCCGCTTCTTACATCAAAATTTATTTTATTGTTCGTCACCATCAGATCCAGATTCACGCTCAGCAACAAGCTTTGAACAGTTTTAATATTGGTGTAAATATTCCCGATAGTAATAACATGATAATATCAAAGAAACATGCTTTAAAGACTTTTATATATTACATCTGCATGATATGTTGTTACTTACCTTATCTATCTTATTCATTGCTACGAACCACCTTAGTTATAGGCTACGACCGGAATTGGTCCTTTGTAGACACCGTTGTGTTCCTGAACTCGTCCGTAAATCCATTTTTGTACTGTTGGTGTAATCGTGAAATCCGAACGTCAGCTGTAAAGGTAGTCCGAAAAATGATGTGTAAACAAACGGAGGTAGTTAGCGGCCTTGAAGGTTAAACTGGTATTTGTAACGAGACCTTCGCCATGCAATGCAAACTTCCTTGAACTTTGCCTAAACTTCGTTTCCGTGAAGATTTGTGTGCTGAGCGAGATACTGCACTTCCAAAAATTCGTCAAAACACAATAATTTTTTCAAAAGTTCTCTATCTGTTGAAATTTAGAAAATAATTAAGTATGCCTTCGCAATGACGACCGAGAGCGTGGTGATCGCTTTTTCGCTATTTATTACGACCCACTTGGATAACCGTTGATCAATGAACCGCAAAATGAGCGCTGCATTCATTTATATTTCAACAAGTCTTAGTTTGTTGTTTTACTAAGTTGGCGTTAATCGATTCCATTGAGACTGTTTAAAAGTTCCTCTTTCGCTAACTCAAAGAAAAATACTAAACAGTTATTCCCCCATTTTTTAATTAGTTTTTTTTTAAATTAAGAATTACCCTTACTCGAAAATATCAAGAACAGTTCCAACGTGTATACTTTTAAAAGCATTTGTTTATTCATTTGTTTACATTTGTTTTTAAAGATTCTCAGCATTAATTAGTTTTTCCTTTATAAAAATGCGTAATATACAAGCGTAATAATTAAACCTTAATCATACTGGCGCATTACTCCTACTTACCGTTCATCAGAACTCAAACAACTGCTCGATTTTCTACTTATTAATTAGTGAAAGGCACAAATTATTACCAGAAAAATTACCCGGTCTGTGTGTATATTAGTGCTATTATCAGAAAAAAACGCCAATAAAGGTCTGTCACCAGCTGCCAAATTAGCTAAGCATAAAGTTCTGTCACCTGCCAAATTAGCTGAGCATGAGATCAAAGGCAAATGTTGAATAACCATAAAGATAGTCAGTCTTCCAATAACTTATGCTGAAACTAGCGGCACTTTTTTTGAGCTTTGTAGAGCTTATTCCTTTTTCAACTGCCAAAACTCAAAAACTATCACTGTCTCATTTTTTATACATCTCCCTCATCGGAAGTTTTTAAGTTCGATAAGAGGTAGAGGAGCGGAATCCAAACTTTAATTGTTGAACTGTGTTTAAAAAATCATAAAACAAATACAATTTCAGCCTTCCTTGTAGTTACACAATATCACTGATCCTTTTCCACAAGAACATAGACCGTCTTAGCATCATCATAGTGCGGGGTAATCGTAGAGAGTCCGAATTTTAACAACAAAGTTTATCTATTTACCATTAGAGGAAGGGAGACCGACCCCAAAATCTTTGTCTTGATAGACCTGAACCCGCGACGTGTCTGATCTAAATAATTATAACTTGCATTCATGTTCACAAACAAGTACGTTGCCAAGTATCCGGTCACTTCAGTTTACCATTGCAGTAACTCTCCTGTCTTGATCGCAAGAGTTCTGAAATTTGGCCCAGAGACAATCTATTTAGTCCTTAACATGAAGAAAGACAGGTTTATTTTTATACCTTTGTTTCTATCGCCANTGCCAAAACTCAAAAACTATCACTGTCTCATTTTTTATACATCTCCCTCATCGGAAGTTTTTAAGTTCGATAAGAGGTAGAGGAGCGGAATCCAAACTTTAATTATTGAACTGTGTTTAAAAAATCATAAAACAAATACAATTTCAGCCTTCCTTGTAGTTACACAATATCACTGATCCTTTTCCACAAGAACATAGACCGTCTTAGCATCATCATAGTGCGGGGTAATCGTAGAGAGTCCGAATTTTAACAACAAAGTTTATCTATTTACCATTAGAGGAAGGGAGACCGACCCCAAAATCTTTGTCTTGATAGACCTGAACCCGCGACGTGTCTGATCTAAATAATTATAACTTGCATTCATGTTCACAAACAAGTACGTTGCCAAGTATCCGGTCACTTCAGTTTACCATTGCAGTAACTCTCCTGTCTTGATCGCAAGAGTTCTGAAATTTGGCCCAGAGACAATCTATTTAGTCCTTAACATGAAGAAAGACAGGTTTATTTTTATACCTTTGTTTCTATCGCCAAATTAATATTTTTCCAGACCTCCTATGTTGCCCATTATCCAGCCACAACAATAACAACGTAATTATACATAAATTTCGACAGGCAAGCGACTTTTAATCTTCTGTTGCACTTGCAAAGTAGTCTGGCTTTCGATTCCAAAAATATAAATCGACCTGGGAACCAAGGATCGTGAAACAAAACATAACAAATGACTGGAATATGTTGGGGAAAACTACGCGAGCGGCTAATTTGCGAACCGGTTTTTCTTTTCTTCTTTTTTTTTTCATTTTTGTAAACAAAAAAAAGGAGAAGGGCTCTTCCGACGGTCAAAGTAACTCCCCCATTTAGTCTGACGTGCAGTGTTGATTTTCTTCAAGCACAGTCTCCACATTTGGACTGCCGTTTTCTAGCACTAATTCCGCCTTCTTTCACATCTCTCAATCCCTTTGAGAAATTTTTCAGACCGTTGCAACCCCGGCCCATTTGTATGAGAATTCCCGGTTCAACTTCGCGCTTCCGGTTATATATAGAAAATGCAGTCACGCGAAACAAGCCGTGTTTACCAAATCAATTCGCCTCGGAATGAGTGAAGAAATTTTCCATATGAAGCTGAGTAGAATTACATTATTCAGATTATATTATATGACCTAAGCTTTAATTATTGTTATAGATATGAAATAAATCTTTACGGATAATGTACGCAGCTAATTCATCGATTTTGTACAGCAAAAAAAACAACTAGCCGGATACTGTGCACCTGACATCAATACTTAGTGAATGTTTCTGCACTCCGTTATTCCAAACAGATTGAATTTCAAGAAGAATTAATGAATTTCCTGACAACCTGACTTCTTTAAGTATCTTCACTTTGAATATAAAACAGTTTCTTTGAAAATATCACATAATTACCAACCCGTATTTGAACACCATTTAGTTTTACTGCGCAGTATTAAANGAATTCCCGGTTCAACTTCGCGCTTCCGGTTATATATAGAAAATGCAGTCACGCGAAACAAGCCGTGTTTACCAAATCAATTCGCCTCGGAATGAGTGAAGAAATTTTCCATATGAAGCTGAGTAGAATTACATTATTCAGATTATATTATATGACCTAAGCTTTAATTATTGTTATAGATATGAAATAAATCTTTACGGATAATGTACGCAGCTAATTCATCGATTTTGTACAGCAAAAAAAACAACTAGCCGGATACTGTGCACCTGACATCAATACTTAGTGAATGTTTCTGCACTCCGTTATTCCAAACAGATTGAATTTCAAGAAGAATTAATGAATTTCCTGACAACCTGACTTCTTTAAGTATCTTCACTTTGAATATAAAACAGTTTCTTTGAAAATATCACATAATTACCAACCCGTATTTGAACACCATTTAGTTTTACTGCGCAGTATTAAAACAGCGTAAATATTAGCCATGAAAAGTTTACTCACCTGAACAGAACGGCGCCTTCTCCGACTGTCTGTCAAGCTGTAAATCCGTCAAAACTTGCATTTTAAAGCTGAAATCTTCAGCTTCCATTCGAAATACTTTGTTTACCGAAAACTAAAAAGGGCGCTGCAAAAATTGAGTTTTTGTTTCAAACGGCCGGATACTGGTACCGGCAGGATACTGGGCAACGTACTGTACTTCCTGGAAGAAGGAGAAGGTATGAACACCCAATAAGTCGTGCTGGTTGGTAAATTTGTAGCGCTTGCAGTGGCTGATTTTGCCGTCTAGTTTCCGTCTGTAAGTAGTTAAGACGTATCCGTAAAAATACCAGTTTTCCAGTAATGTAATGTATTATCAGTGAGTTCTGTTTAGGTCTAAATCAGATCAGAAACGTTTGTTTTGAAACTATCGAGCCAGTTTCACCTGGAATTCAGTCAGAAACAAGTCGAAAGGTTAAAGCACTCGTGTGCCTAGTCTGCGTAACTGGCGAGGTTAGCGGGCGAGTGCTGCTGTGTTAGAGTTAGAGTTAGGAGCCGCGTGAAAGATGCGCTTTATCATTCAAGCTTGCATTGTCATGCAGACCCTTCCAGTTGTAAGGAAAAAATTTCCAAGAAACAAGTTCTAAGCTTACTTATAACTTCTTGTTTCACCATTCAACGTTCCTTTTCTTCTTTCCATCAAAGTAATAAGTCCCGTAGTAAATTCTTGCATTTTGGTACACTCCAAAATTCTACTTGACATGCAATATTTCACTGGTTTTACTGGCGTGGCTTCAACATTTGTTTTCGCCATTTTTTCTCGCAGACTCGCGCTTGGGGGCCGTAATTGATATACACCAATCAGATGTGATAGTAATCGTGCCGACTGTTCCAGAACTTTCGAAAGAGAAATGAATGAATGGTTTAAAGTACTACCTAACTTTAGCAGCGCTAAGATGTGGGTACTAAAGTTATCTATCTATCAAAAAGCCACAGTCAGTCTCAAAATGGACGTCATTTTGTTTCACTGCGATACAAAAGTGTTAGAGATAGAGCAAACGCAATTGGACAGCATGAAAAATCTTGCTCAAGCGAACTGTTGTCATGGTAGTATCTTGAATTTTTTTTATTTTACATTTAAAACTGTTCTTGGTTCTCCTGGCGGTTATTTGAGTATCGTGCATTTTTGGCTGTATGAAATAAGTTAGAACACGCAAAACCTTCCGCTCATGAAGTAAACGGACGAGATAACGGATCTTTCCATTGTGTTCATGGCTAATGTTCAACGCGTCGCGCTACGTGAGCAGCAAGGCAGGTGATTTTTTGGCAAATAAGAAACTAAGACAATTTTAAAATGTCAATATACTCAAAGATCCAAGATCAGTCACGGTATAAGCTGGCTGAGGCCTGTTATTGTCCGATTATAAGTTATGAAAAAAAGTCGCCATTGTGAAGAACGAACTTTACAACACATTCATTTGATATATTTACATCAGAGAATGTCGACTAAATAAATAAGCTAAACAATAAAAACCAGAAAGTAATGGGGAGTAGTCGGCTAAAATTAAAGCTGATATAGTAGTTTTGCCCTAATGAAGCCATTTTGGTCTTATGAACAGCATTCGTATGGCAGGAAGTCAAAGTTTTCCAACATCCCCTCAAGATGGGGAGTTGTTTGCTTATTTTGAAGTTGTTTCAATTGCAAAAGTCACGTAGACTTTTCTCAGTCGGCACGTAATTTTTATACGCGTTATAACAGTTCTTGCTTATGAAATGTTTATCCAAAGTTTCTTTAATCCACACGATAAAACTTCTACACTTTTTTCATCGCATTGTAGAGACAAATCTTCAATTTGAGATCACGTTTACAAGACCTATAATCATGGAGTTATATACTGAATCCAGAAAAAAGGGCTTTGTTTTTGTTGGCCAATGGAATTCTGATTACAATTTTGTGACAGTTTGACGATTTCTCTATTGAAGTTTGGAGGGACGAAGATGTAAAAAATCTGTTCGGAGAAGCAAATATTGCCTAGAATTTTCTATCACTTGAGGACGGCGACAAATTTCTAGATAACCCTACCATTCATGTACAATTTTCGAAGCCTATCTAATAAATTGCCTACGATTTTCTGAAGTTTAATTTTCGCATTTTATTCCCCAGGATAGGCTATTTTTCGTAGAATAAAAGGAAACCTAAAAATTTCGTATTCAAAAATGTGATGGAGAGAGGAATCAGGAAAATTCTTACCTTTGCAATACGTTAAATTGCATCTAAAATTTTTGGGAAAATAGTAATAAAGCCCTTGTAATTTCGAACAGATACACATTTTGTAGTGCCTCTTAGAATGCATTTCTAGATATTTAAACGTGCTCTGGAGAGTCAATGTATTAGGAAGAAACCTTCGTTGGATGTTCCTTCTGTATGCCACCATACAAACTAAAAGGGGCCAAACGCCGCACCTCCGAACTCAACTAGTTGAGTTCGGCTCATTTGAAGGACGGTGCCACAAATTTGACTTCATGTTTAGGCGTATCACTAATGCACCATTTTTCTTTGTTTGACTATTACCGACGAAAATATCGTTAATCAGCGCCATTTTATACTGAAATAACCTGAACTGCTATGAATCCGAACACTAAATCACTAAATCACAGGTTGCTAAGAAGTCTTTCAGACAAACTTGGAGAGAAAAACTTGATCACAAAATTTTTGTTTCGTTGTCATGTTAATGTCTTTGTAACCTTTTTGTTTTGGTTCAGTCGTCTAATTTTCTTTACTGGCGTGCAATTAGCATAGAACAATGCCCAACTTCCATTCCCTAACCCGCAGTTTTGACTCAGTTTTCATCTTTTGTCTGTAATAACTTTCTGTTGCTTTTATGCAAACTAGCGTAGCTTTGTGACCCAATCAAAACGACATAATTTGCTTTAGGATCTCGTTCTTCAGTGATTAATGTAGTTAACTATCCCCGTGGCATCCGGCGGGCGATACCCATCAAATGCAAAACTATAATTTGCGCATCTACCTTACTATCGTCATTATGCAGAGAAAGGTCCGTTTTATTAATTTGCCCACTCCTTTACAGGCGCAGTTATAATAAAGACATGCGTAGCGCATACATACGTTGCCTGGGTGCCATTCAGACAGCAAGGAAAGCCAGTAACGCTTACTGTTATGAGTTACAAATTGGACTTAACTGAACTAAAAATGATAAACTTTTCTCTCTGGAAAAACGAATCAGAACTCGATGGCATGGGAAATATGGACTCTCCCAAAACAATTGAAATAATCAACTGTATCCTCAATGCTCCACTGATTTTGATATCCATCATTGGCAACGCTTTGGTGTTGACTGCCATATTGAGAACTTTTTCGCTCCGTTCAACACCGTCCATAGTCTTCTTGTGTAGTCTCGCAGTGTCAGACCTTCTTGTCGGACTTGTAGCTCAACCAGTTTACATTTCCAATGCGCTTATCTACTCAGATAGCAGCTTCGCTTTAAAACAAGCATGTTTTTTCTAGCCTGTGGTGTTTCTCTCTTCACCATGACAGCCATCAGCGTGGATCGGTTTTTAGCTCTTCGTTACCATATGCGTTATTCGGGTCTGATGACAGTGAAACGTGCATTATTTACTATAGCAGGCATCTGGTTGGTGCTTGTTGTTTTGTCATGTCTCAGGATAATTTGGAAAAGAAGTCTTCTTTTCCTAGCCATAGTTGTCGGCGGCATTGCTATTTGCCTCTTTATTTCAACCTTTTCGTACATCAGAATTTACCAAATTGTACAGCATCACAAGTTGGCTATTCGATCACAACAACAGGCCATACAGAGACTGAGTAATGATGCGACGAATCTTAAACAGTCTACAAAGAGTGCCATCAATACCCTCATTTATTTCATTTGTATGATTTTTTGTTATTTGCCAATATTGGTGGTTACTATCATTTTGGCTTTTGGACAGCCTCTGGATAGCCGATTGGACATTGCAGACACAATAGCGTTTATGAACTCGTCCATAAATCCATTTTTGTACTGCTGGCGTACTCAAGAAATTCGTTCGGCAGTTTTGAAGACAATCCGTCAATTCTTTCGTAAACGAGCAAGACAAACTTAGTCTTTCCCCACTAGCGGAGAAAAATTTAAACTTTGGTTTTGTTAAATACTGTAAAAATGGGGTGATGAAGACGTAGTGCTAAATACTAGGTTTTAATCGAATGGTCACATCTTAGATTTTCTTCCATTAACTAAAAATTTTAAACCATAATTTCCTATTTTCATAATTGTCATATTTTTCGGCACCTAAGTTTCGACATCTTTGTGAACTTTTTGGATTTTGAATGAGTTTCAGTTTGCGTTCCTAAAGATTAATTGATTAAACTTGTCCTTAAATGGAATAGAACGACTTAATTTACAACAACGTCAAAATTAAAGAAAAATACACCTGCCGGAGTGTATATGACAAGTGTGACAAAAACGAAGTTCTCACAATGTCCACAAGACGTTCAATTCATGCTTGTACGTGAATTATTGAGTCAATTGATCACGATATCCAGAGAGACTCACGAGTAATTTGCGTACTTTTAATTCCCGATTTGACCAGTCCTTCAAGATCTGAACCCTCCCCTTATTCTAGTGAAAAAAGATAAATTAATAATTCTTTTCCACCAACCAAGTTACGCGGATTTTGCATCAGTGGTAATATCTCGCGTTTGTTTGTTTTGTTTTCCTCTGGCCCGTTTATTCGAGTATCTTTCATTTTTCTGGTAATAAATCATACCTCAAAACATAGAAAATGTAAAACCTTTTCTTTGGCAGTGGCGAAATAGACGAGGTACCAGATTTAACCTATGTTTTCATGGCTGGTCTTCAACATGCCTGCTACTTGAGCAGCTAGGCAGGTGATTTTCCACAGATAAGGAGGACACTTTAAAATATGTCAAAATCAATCCAACGGATGAAAATCAGTCATGGTAGAAGCTGAAGTCTGCTATTATCTTTTTGTTGGTTTTTTTTAAGTCTTTATTTCTCTGGTACAAATTTTAAAAAGTCGCAGTATTATATTTACATAGATTTGTCGACTAAATGAAAGAATGTGAAAAAATTGTGAGAAAACATCTTTTATAATAACGCGGCAAAAAAAAAATAGTCAAAACTACGTATACAGCAATGGTGAAAGGTCATTTGATTTAAAGTAATAGTTTTGCACCAATAGACTCACACAAATAGATTTGGTAAATATACGTATGACAGGCAGTCAAAGGTTCCCGACACTTTCTGAAGATATCTAGAATTGGTTCTTTGTATTTGATGGGCCGAAATTGCGAGCATCACGTAGCTGTTTGTCAGTCTCAGAATGTTTATCTTTGTCGACGCGTTGGAAAAGATTTTTCCTATAAAATGTTTATCCAAAGTCTCTTTCATGCAAGGAATAAAAATTAGGCTCTATCAGTTATTGCATTATAGAGCCAAACACTCTTTACACTTGCAAGTGATCAGACAGGGAAGATCATCGAGTTAAAATCCTGAAAGGGCTGTTAGGCAAAGGTAATTCTGATTACATTTTGCTAGTCACAAGTAATATCGTTAAAAATCAGTATAATAAGCAAAACTATAAGGCATTTAGATTTAACTGTTAAGTCAGCATTTAATAGGTGAAAATTTTTCTTAGGCCTCCGTTTTGAAGCCGAACTTTTCATGAGCCGAACCCAATACATTGAATTAACTTCATGAAAAGTTCGGCGTCTAAATCAATAAGGAACGCCTGTTTCAATTTGGAACGGCTCAGCCATTCTTTTCGCCTAGCCCGGCCGGGAATTTCGCCTTTGGAGCGACTTTGGAACGGCTTTGGTTCAGACGCCGAACTTTTCATGTAACGAACCTGACGCATAAATTATTGCATTTTGCAAGTAGTTTGACAGAAATGAGCATTTTTCCCCTTTTGAACTTAGTTTCGGCTGCAATTCAGATCGGCGTCTGAATCAATTCAGCCGGTCTAAATAATTTGAGTCGGCCTTAATTCGAATTAGGTTCCGCTTATGAAAAGTTCGGCGTCTGAACCGGGCCTTACTGTTTTTTAATTTTGCCCTTTTTACTAATACTGATACTGCGATACTGACCTCTTACCACCCACTTAATGACACTAAGAAAGTTTTAAACATCATTTCCTCGATTTCTGATGAACGTGACATGGTGTCAGACCAGATGGACCTTTATTTTTCAAATCAAAGAAAGGACCTCGTAGTGGTGAGTCTAATTCTGACGTGTGATCACAGCCTTAAGGTGATGTTACACGAGACGATTCTCAACGACGATTCTTAGCGCAACACAGCGTTGCATCATTGTTGCGATGTTGTTTCGAATCTTACACCATCACCTTAAAGGAGCTGTGTCACGAAATTCAAGCAAATTAGGAAATTACAAAATGCCTGTTAAATTAAGAGAAACATAAAAATAACCGCTCAAAACTTTAAAGGAAGGTTAAAATAACATAACAGAAACAACAGATACCACGGATGGGCAAAACTGAAGAAGATTGAAACGGATTGAAATTAGGGTTTTTGAAAACTGTTCAGCCTAACAGTTTTTCAAAGTTGATCCCTGCTGCTTGCAACTTCAAAAATAATGCTCAGGAGACATANGTTACACGAGACGATTCTCAACGACGATTCTTAGCGCAACACAGCGTTGCATCATTGTTGCGATGTTGTTTCGAATCTTACACCATCACCTTAAAGGAGCTGTGTCACGAAATTCAAGCAAATTAGGAAATTACAAAATGCCTGTTAAATTAAGAGAAACATAAAAATAACCGCTCAAAACTTTAAAGGAAGGTTAAAATAACATAACAGAAACAACAGATACCACGGATGGGCAAAACTGAAGAAGATTGAAACGGATTGAAATTAGGGTTTTTGAAAACTGTTCAGCCTAACAGTTTTTCAAAGTTGATCCCTGCTGCTTGCAACTTCAAAAATAATGCTCAGGAGACATATTTGTTTGTTTCGGATCTCTGGTTTTGTCATTTACATGTAATTTCTTTGCTTACTTTAAGTTCCATAGCGATTGAGGGCGAGTAATAGGCAAAATTGAACAAAATGAAGTAGACTGCCGTGATACAGCCCCTTCAAGCCTTTGAGTGAACGTGAGGTTTTGGTTGACCTTGTTTTGACAAAAACCTCTGTCCTTTTCTTATGGAAATTATGCCTAAAAAAATACTACTTATAGTGTAGCATAAGAACAACATGATTTACATAACAAACTTGAAGGGTTTGTATATATCAAACATGGTCAACTCCAGCCTCGTTTCACCAGTCACTCTAAAATGGACTATTCGCATTTGTGAGAAAAAAAAAACATGGAGAACTCAAAGTTTCTTTTCAAATTTGATTTGCAAATTAACTGCTTGACGCCAGTTTTTTGAGAGGATATATTAACTGGTTTCTTGTTTCCCTTTCTATTTCAAACACACATTTAGACTTCGTATTTTCATTGTCACTAAGGTATTATTTACAACAGCAAAAACAACAACAAACAACAACAACTTTATTACACATTGACACTGCCTGCATTTAGCAACAGCTACTAGAGGCAGGCATTGTGAGGACGCTACAAATTGATTTTGAATTTAAGGACCGGTTCAGACGCCGCTCCACTCATGTGCTTAACCTAACTGATGAATTAAGCACGGCAAAAGAGCGGCGTCTGAATCAATTTGGTACGGCAGTTTTAGTTTGGTGTGGCAAAAGCGTTAAGTTCGACAGAGTCTGTCGAACTTTTGTCGAACTTAACTTAGGTTCGACACACGGTACGCCGTCTGAATCAGATGTCGCGCCAGTGTTGCTCCAAAGTCGAACTTATTCAGTTAGGTTCGGCACATGAAAAGTACGGCGTCTGAACTAGGCCTAATTTCTGTTTCGCCACAAAGATCCATACACTTGTATAACAGATTTTACAAATATAGGAGGAAGATAGAGATAACTAAAACAAAGATACTAAGTAAAGCTGATAAATCAACGAGTAAAAAAAATATATATTAAATCAAACTCCTCTCTCAATTACATCAAGAAGGGTGTCCATGTCAATAACTATCCTGGATTTGAAATTTATAAATTTAAAAATTGTGCACTTCTTTTTTCATAAAAGTGCATTTTTGAGGTTTACTCAAATACTTACAGATACTATTCCAAATTTAGACCCGAAAGCAGCAGAGTCTGTAGGGGATTGGATGTTGTACTTTTGAACTTGACATAAAAAAATGCGGTGTGGGATTATATTAAGACAGAAGAGAGGCTGACGTATAACGTAGATATTGGCATTTTATTGGAGGAAATGAAGTAAGGAATAGTTTGACGGTTCGGAATTCGGTAAAGTTCATTTTAAAACGAATCGCTTCTGTTCGGAGCACTAGATTTGTTTCGTGGAGAATCGAGATACTACACACAAGGATCTCATAAGACATCTTTAAACATGTTGAATTGCTGAGAATGGAATGCCTGTGACGGATTCCAATATTACTACTTATCTTTAAAACAAATGATCGATACTACTGCAGGTGAGATGGCCGTCAATTCAAAGCACTCAATATTAGATGAAATCTTTGCGTTCCAAAGAAAATTGTTTGTATGATGTGATTAACGCAAATCTTTAATTTTGTACTTGGTAACAATTAACTTAGTTTTTCATTTATGTTCATTTAAGGGAAAGCTTTCTTGAAGTTGGCCATCAGTCGTACACTTCGGATAATTCCACATTCTGGGGAGCCAAGTTCTTGTAAGCATTATTTTCTTTATTTTGCAGGTAAATATCTCTGTATTTTTTCGGCCTTCTTATTCATATTTGACTACGTGCGATGATCGGATTCATTGAAAGTTAGCGCCTTTTACTGACAAGATCAATTCGATCGAGTCAGGGGCACCCAACGACAATTTTCGGAAAAATATCTGTTCGGAAGACGATTTGAGATCTAGAATTTTCGGAACATTTGTTGTAAAATTTCTTGCTTGCCTGCTTCTCCTAGGATTTTCGAACATCTAAAATATGGTATAATCGCCTATTTTTAACGGATTTTTACCCTAAAAAGGTCACCTAGAATTTTCGGAGCCTTTTTTCTGGCTGAAATTTTCGAAAAAGTAAGTTTTGATCCCTAGAATTTTCGGATCACTAGACTTTCAGCTAGGAAATCCGAACAGATGAAAATTTTTTTAGGGGATAAAAATATGCCTATATCTACCGTTTAAATACCAAAATACGTTTAACAATGCTATGTTTTAGCGGTTTTGAACTAAATCCTCGTTGGGTGCCCCTGTCGAGTACTCAAGCGGTTTTTTTTTTCCGCTTCCTTTCCTTTTGTTTGGTTTAGCACTGAGGTATTTATGTTTGAAACGAAGTTAATAAAATGCTTTCCTTGTCAAGTCCATTCTTCATATCTAAGTTTAAATTTTTTGATATTTTTTTATTCCTTTGTTACCTTTGCAGTTTTTTTATTCCTTTGTTTGGCATGTTATTATAACCAAAGAACAATACCGTACTTCAGCTGGTACTTCCGCTCCCTCGCTCGAAGTTTTCCTGTTTTGCTTTTTTCATTTTTCATTTTGCGTCGTCTTTATGCAAACTAGCATGTTTTCGAGAGGGGGGCGTTGGGATTTTCGGTTTTGGCCATCTTTATGTCGGTTTTTCGGTTTTGTTGTCCGTTGCGGTTTCCGGTTTTTCCGTTTTTTAGCATTTGGTTGTTCCATTTTTTGGCAAAAATAAAGCAGGTTAGATTCCTCTTTGGGTCTCTGTGCAGTCAGATGTTAAGCTATTTTATATGTTTCTATTTTACCGTCAATCCAGGTCAAACTGCAATGTGGGATTCTGGATTTTTTATCAGAGGTTTAAAGGTATGGGAGAGCTTTTTGCGAACGCAATATTCAATCGAGGATCTTTGTGAATTCTCCTAGACGATCCTAGGGCAGATATGCCGGTCTTACGACTATAACATCCATAGATAGTGCTGAGACTGTGATGATATTGATATTTAGAATGATGATGTGATGTTGTTAAGTCGGCAAAATTGAAGAACGACTCCCCAAAAATTCTGTCGGCCGACTGTCGACGATTGTCGTTAAACTGTAGGAGAGCTGTTGGTCGATCATAAAATCTTCAACGTGAGAGTTCATATTTATTGATCAAGGTAAAAGAGCTAGATATAGATAGTTTGAGTATCAGTTTTCTTCAACAAACCAGAGTTAGTTTTAATCTGTCGGCCGCCTGTCTGTTGGTCGTCATGTGTCGATGAACTGACGGTCGACAGTCTACCAACAGACGGCCAACAGATTTTTTGGGGAACTTATATGTTCTTCAATTTTACCGTTTAGTCCCTATGTTCCACATATCACTGACGTTTGAGATCTAGACTTGAGTTTTGCAAATTTAGCTCTATAAATCTTCGGTAATGATGGTTTTGTATTCGCTTTCGGTTTTGATCGAAATCTATCGCGGTTTTTCGGTTTTGGGTAATTTTTAGAGCGGTTTTTCGGTTTTTTATTGACCCATATGCCCCTCTGTTTTCCATGACCCAGTCAAAAAATAATTTGACTTCATCTTGTGCTTAAGTTATGATGTTCTGTTTCCTCCTTGTCATTGTTAACTCTTCATTTTACCACAGCTGTTGGACGTGCTATTGTAGTTTACTTTCTTTTCCGGCGGGCGATATCCATCAAATGCAAACAATAATTTGCACATCAAGCAAACTACATCATCATTATGAAATATTACTCTGTGGTTGGATGAAGACGTGTATACATTAAATAATTTGCCAACTTTGTTACTGACGTCCTAGAGAGATGATTGGGTACCATCAATAAGGGAAGCCTTAGAAACGTATTACAAACTGGAATTGAAAACAGAATTGGAGATGTTAAACCTTTCCCTCTTTAGGAAAAACGATTCAGAACTCGATGACATGAACAATATGCAAGACAGTTATTATCCCGAAACAATTGAAGTAATTAATTGTATTCTCAACGCTCCACTTATTTTCGTATCCATCATTGGAAATGCTTTGGTGTTGACAGCCATATCGAGGACTCCTTCGCTCCGTTCAGCACCGTCCATAGTCTTCTTGTGCAGTCTCGCGGTGTCAGACCTTCTTGTCGGGCTTGTTGCTCAACCAGTTTACATTTCCAATGCGCTTATCTACTCAGAAAGCAGTTCCGCTTTAAAACAAGCAACGGAGGTCATGTTTTTTCTAGCCTGTGGTGTTTCTCTCTCCACCATGACAGCCATCAGCGTGGATCGGTTTTTAGCTCTTCGTTACCATATGCGTTATTCCGACGTGATGACAGTGAAACGTGCGTTATATACTTCAGCAATCCTCTGGTTGGTGTTTATTGTTTTGTCATTTCTCAGGATTTGGAAAAGAAGTCTTCTATTTCTTGTTATAGTTGTCAGCGGCATTGCTATTTGCTTCTTCATATCAACTTTTTCGTACATCAGAATTTTCCAAATCGTGCGGCATCACACGTTGGTTATTCGATCACAACAACAGGCCATAAACAGGTTGAGTGCTGATACGACGAAAATTAAACAATCTACAAAGAGTGCCATCAATACCCTCATATATTTCATTTGTATGATCTTTTGTTATTTGCCAATATTGGTAGTTACTATCATTTTGGCTTTTGGACAGCCTCTGGATAACCGATTGCATATTGCAGATACAATAGCGTTTTTGAACTCGTCTATAAATCCATTTTTGTACTGTTGGCGTACTCAGGAAATTCGAGCTGCAGTTTGGAAGATTGTACGTAACTTCCTTTGTAAAGGAGCGAGGCAAACGTAACCCTCCCAGCGAGAGAAAAATTCAAAATTCCATTTTGCAAAAGTTGTCATTCGGCAAACCTACTGCTAAATATAATGGTTTTTTGAACTAACTGGTTGCATGGTAGCTTTTCCCAGCTCCATAGTGCGAAACTTTTCTACTAATTTCCTAACTCCATAATTGACACACGGAGTGAAAAGGTTAAGTGTCTTTGCTTTCCTGCAATTAACTGCCACAATTCAATTACTTCACAATATACCCTCACGACTCTAGAACCTATTTTAATTAAACCCAAAGATGAAGTTGCAAAAAATTGAGAAGTGCTTCTTCGGCCAAGGATAAAGATATATGAATGACCATAAAAAGGCTTGTAACCTTTCAACTGAGAGTATTAGCTATTAGGACGCGATGCGCGACCAAAAACATTTTTCTCAATATTTATCACAGTATTTTGTATTTGTTAGTTATTAAGGCTCCTTTCGGCAGCAAGGCGGGTAAAACAGGTGCTATTTATGCCATCTGAATCATTTGAACTCTTTACATACTGCAATGTTGTCTTTGTTTATTCTAATAAAATACATTTCGATTTCTACGAAAGGGAAATTTTATATAGCACAACCCCTAACACTTCGCTTGAAGCCAAAACGAATAGTAACCAACGAAAGTCCGACCTTAATAATGCCGTGGGTTGCTTTAAAATATAGTTGATGTTGCTTACTAAATGACGCTGGGAATCACGCGCTGCCACGATGCCTCGATAGCTCTTGAATTTAATTTCAAAGGCTGTTTTTTTTGGCCGTTCCCTCCTTACAAAAAAAGGGGAGAAATTATTCATTATCAGCAGAATCCATCTTGTGTCAGATGTTGCCTTTCGAACTGAATTCTTATGATTTCTCCTGCTGATCATGACATGCACCGAGAGAAAGAGGGAGGGGTCCCGAGTTCCATTCCCAGCCGGTGACTACAAATCTTCGTATACGACTTCTTCCCTTTGTGGTTTTCACTAGCGACGGATTCGGAGTCGGAGTCGTAATCACAAGCGTAGAGCTTATGATCTAGTGAAAACAGCGTTCCGATTTCGCAAACGTACGACTCCGTCGCTTACGTTCCGGTTATGATGTAGTGAAGATTGTCGGAGTCGGAGGCAGAAGCGGAAAAACTAAACCAATCACAAAGCGTGGGAACGATTATTGTGATTGGTTTAGTTCCTCCACTTCTACTTCTGACTCTAAGCTAGTTTTCACTAACTACGGAGTTGGAGTTGGAGTCGTAATCAGAAGCGCAGAGCCTATGATCTAGTGAAAACAGCGTTCTGATTCTGCTTACGATTCCGTCACTTACGTTCCGCTTCTGATCTAGTGAAAACCAGATTTTCGGAGTCGGAAGCAGACGCAGAAGAACCAAACCAAGCGTGGGAACCTGCATTGCGATTGGTTAATCCTTCTGCTTCTGCTTCTGCTTCCACTCCGACAATCTGGTTTTCACAGATCATAAGGGGAACGTAAGCGAAGGAGTCGTAAGCGGACTCGGAAGAAATGGAAACGTTCTGATTCTTCTGACTCCGATTCCGTCGCCCTTATGACTCCGCTTACGACTCCGATTTTTGATTTTCACTAGGTGATAAGCGCTCTTACGACTCCGCTTACGACTCCGACTCCGACTCCGTCGCTAGTGAAAACCAGCCTTTATGATTCCGCTTACGACTCCGATTTTTAATTTTCACTAGGTTATAAGCGCTCTTGCCACTCCGTTTACGACTTCGACTCCGTCGCTAGTGAAAACCAGCCTTTAGTAGCTTTTAATTCCCGTGGAAAGGAGTGCTGATAAAGACAAGGGGTAAAATGAACGCAGAGTCGGCGCAGACTCTTTATCTTAACCGTCGCCGCTGTTATGCTTGAAAAAAAAAAAAGATGTGTAACCAGTATCAGTATTATCAGTGCCGCGAACGTGTAATAACCATGGCTGGTTGGCTTTGAGACTGACATCTAACAGTGCTGATAATTAGACGTAACATTTATCTCAGTATATATCGGCAAAGGCAATGACTTCAGGCCTACGTCATGCGATGGTTGTTTTTCAACGATGGAAACTTGATGGCCGAACTATAGCTAAAACTTTTAACCCCGTGCTTTAACCGCTTACGGTTGACTGAGTTCTCATCCGCTTTATTATGCTAGTCTTGAATGAAGAACCACGTTCTCGTGCTCTTTTGTTCCGCCTCCACGTGACAAACACAGTCACACCAATAGCCACCAACACGATTGGGATAACTATCCATGGAACAATCGACGCCACAGCAAGTTCTTCAAAGGATAAGAGAACATAAGCAACGGTGTAATAGGTAAGCTCATGAAATTATCTTTATCTAACAGTGCTCGCTGACGTAGGCCATTAGCGTGCGGTCGTCGCTTCTAATTCTCTTCACCCGAAAAGTGACTTACTTTTTGGGTGGAGAGAAGCGACGACCGGAAATGGCCATCAGGTTGCATGTAATATTTTGCGAAAAACGTATTTCTAGTAGTGATGGTGAGGCAACACCAGCATGTTGCTTTACAATCCTGGAGACAAGTCCTTGGGACAGTAGTGCATTATTCATAATTTTCTGTAATTTTTCGGTGCCCCTCATAAAACAGTGCATCCTTTTCAAAAATTGCTGCGGTTCTCCCTCCCCCAACTTATTGCGCAATATTAAAACTGGGGAAAAGTTCTGGATACAAGCGTCCAACGTTGTTTGTGGGGTGGAGGGAAAGTTTGGGCATGTGTGAATTGAAAAACGCCCCACAATTGTAAATTTGTCCTTTTGCCCAAGATTGTAGCAATGTTGAGTGATATAGACCAACATGTTCAGTCTCTTCCAGCACTAACGAAAGCTAGGTTCTGTTGCACCAATTTTAGCATTTAACGATGTTACATTCGGGACAACACGTTGTCAGTTGAAAATGAGGATGATGGTCGGCCTTTATGTTAAATGTAATAGCGTTGAACCGTTGTTTGGATCAACATATAAATGTAGGTAGCATCTAACCATGGTAGACTAAAACCCAGGCACTGTAGTCTAGATTACGGGGAAAGTAGTCCGAATTACTAAATATTATTGCAACATCACCTTTGATTACTAACCTCTTTCTGTCATTGTAAACGTGGCACGAAAACCACGGTTGTCCTGCGCCTCCGTTATGATCATCTGTATCATCATGTCCGATTCAGATGTCAACAGTCCGGAAGGTTTGTTCGAGCCGCAAAACGTATCTTTTCCCACCAGTAGCTTACTTCCTCCCGAGCAGGCCATGTCAAAATCTTCAATCTTCACCTCCACTATATAACCATCCGGGACCACAATTTTCCAGGTACAAGTGATGATTGGGTAGGAATAGGGATACCCCGGACTAACCAAAGACCCTGTATATCCTCGCACTTCGATGGGTTTCTGTGGTTTCGTGTCTGTGCGACATCGACTTGTATAACCTGAGGAAATAATAACGCACAAATATAAATGAGGATCGGACCCGACACTACATTAAACTGAGCAAGACCAGTTGGATAATTTACGAGCAAACATCTCACAAAGATTGCTTATTAATAAGTGGAGTCTGTAAGGATAGATACCGATAGTAACCATACAAATACGAAATATGTCTGGTGGTGTATACTAAATCATTTTTTCTAATTTCTTATCAACTAGGTAAAAAGCTTTATCAATGAAAGGTTCAATACCATGATGCAGCAACGTCATAAGTGTGTTAGAAGAAAACATAAGAACCATCTATTTTTAAGTCGTGCCACATTGAACAACATAGGAAAACCCCACGAGGCGAATTAATTTATGAATGTTTTAAATGAAATGTGAACAAACCCATTTACCTTGTGGAATAACCTCATATGAAGCATAAAATCCTGTAGTATTTGGACTTGGTAACAGGTTATCACCCTTGGTGTACTCACTACTAGAGGTGAAATTTGTCGTGAAAAACACCTGAAGCTGATTCCTGGTAGAATATATCACCGGGGGCTGAACAGGACTGCAGAATCTTCCCCAATATGAAGGAACACTATCAAAGTCAGCTACGAAAGAATCATCTACACGAACCCCATTTCCACCATTTATACCATTTTTGCAGTCACCCTGGATGTTTAATTTTTTAAACTGAAGCTTAACGCGATACCCATCAGGTGCTTTTAGTCGCCAATAGCAGGAGCCGATCGGCGGAAATTGAAGCGGGTAGTCTGGGGAGGCCAGGCGACCGGTTGAATCTTGGGTCAGATTTAGTGACACCACGCTGTTGTTAGGAGTGCACACACCTAAAAGGTAACTGATAAAAGGTCAATCATCTACAGGTATATAGTACCATATCCATATTTCAAAACAAGGAATTGTTAAAGGGCAGTATCACGGCTCATCATCGTCACAATATAATCTTTATCATTCAGCCCTTGTGGTCGAGAGGCTCTTAATAATGATCCGACTTCCGATCCGACATTACGTTGACAAGATCGGAAACACTCGACATCATATCTGGGAATGTCAAATGAAAGAGAATGGGAAAAAAAGAGGGATTGAATGATTTCGCCCAATGCTTTTTGGTGACTGGGCTAATTGGGGACGGTGCTTCGTCAGCTTTTGGGAGACTGGTGTTTTTTTTTGCCTTTGTGAATCTGCTCGCGCAACACTCATCGGCGTCAAAAGTAATACGGCTGTGCAGACTTCAAGGTCACAAGATGCCCCCTTTTTATGTCAACCTTGGTTACAAGGTAGCACAAGGTACGTACAATTGCTGAGGCACGAAAGAGCTCGCGAACAAATAAAGAAAGATATCAATTCCGTCTCCGACGAATGATGACCAAACCTTAATTAACGTTTATGAACTTTTTACCCAAATAACACACTCAAACTTGAAACATGGGCAGAACTTTTTCATCCAGTGTTTAGCCCGCTTCCTAAAGAGAGGTTTTTTTGCAATTGCATGTTATGATTAATTTTGTGCAAAGTCACTACTGAGGAACTTCTACTGATACAATCACAACTGTTGGAATTTGAATGACGACTTGTTCTGGTTGCCACTGCTCGCTTAAAGACTGGTTATAATACCATGACCGTGACAAGCATCTGTTCACAAAAGGACCAAAACCAAAGGAGCGGGTTTTCCTCATCATTTTGTCACGAAATGTCGGCAGTATAAAATAACTAACCTTACCGTTAGATATGGCGTCAAATCTTGCGGCGAATCCCTGAGAAACTCTTTCTTCATCCGATATGAACGTAACTAGAATCTTAGGTCCTACTGAATAGATCGGAGGAGGGGCAACATTACCACAAAATATTCCGTATCCTGGGTCGTTTTCTATGAAGCTGTCTCGTACCTCCACGTGGTCTTCCTTATCACAATTGCCCAGTCTTTTTGAACCAAGATAGAAGGCCTGGAAGCTAATCTTTATGCGGTGGCCGCTGGGTACTGTGATTATCCATCGACATTTCATGTTTATATGGTAATCTAATGGAAATAAAGGGCTTTGAAATCTGCCACTTGAACCGCTAAGCACGATGTTATAATTTGCCTCAGGATCATGGTATTGGCTGCATCTCTCTGCAAATGAGGTAGAGGCAGTTTGAGTGTGCACAAAGTGACGTTTTATATCATGCTTAAAAAGTAAGGGAGGAAGATGCCAAGACAGCAGTTTAGTGTCCGTTTACAAAGTGCTCTTTGGGGGAGATTTGACTGTAGTGGCAAAATATCTTACCCGCTGATTCCAGTGACAAGGAGGCTTGGAATCCACGACGTAACGCTACGGTTCCATTGGTTATCGTGTATATCACGGTAACATAGCTCAGGCGGGACACTACATCGTCAGGCACGTGATGACCGCAGTATCTCCCCAATGACCCAAAGCTATATCTGTCATTCTCGGCTAATTCCACAGCCGAACTTGAGCAATTAGTGCTGTTTTTCAGATTGAATAACTGAAAGTGGACACGTATACGGTATCCTTTGGCGACAAAAACACACCATGAATACTGCAATGACACATTTGAAGGAAACGCTGTTGGACTTGAGATGTTCTCCAAGGGTGTGTTTTTTGAAAGCCATATTGACCGGTTGCATTCTGGTTGACAGTAAAAAGATAGCAGAGCGCGACAAAATAAGAAAATTTAGTCAGTTACAAATTTTCTCGTAAAATAAAGGGTTAACATACACTGCTTGCCAATGGACACATTACAGACGCTCTAGCCTTGTGGGAGCTACTGAACGGTTCTCGTCATTCTCAAATTGCAGTAGGTCTAGGGGAGGGGCCCTGGGGGCCCGCCCCCCTCCTTATTTTTAGACCAAACTGAGGCCGAAAAAAATGTTTTTGGGAGACCGCCCCCCCCCCTCCCTTATCTGTAGGTCTGGATCCGCCACTGAAGTGGGTAGCCTTTAGATTTAGATACACTTTGCTTGTCCGTGTTGCCATAAAAGCAGTAGTGAAAGGAAAAGGTCAGTGATAAGATAATGCATCTAGCAACTTTTATTGGCGTCAAGAGAGCATCATCCCTTCCTGCTAATGCATCATACAGGGTTCGCACAAAGTCTTGAATTCTTGAAAAAGTCTTGAAATTTTCCCGGTAATTTTCCAGACCTGGTAAAACTCTGAAAATGGAGATTAAGTCTGAAAAAATGGTAACGTTTTCATTGAATCGTATTCAATCCGCGCGTATTTTGCAGCACATCATGAAAAAAGCTTTGTTCCTACGTTTTTAAACGTCTCTATAGATCACCTATTTTTAAACCTTGAGTTTGCAAAAAGAAATTATTGTTTTGGAAAAAAAAAAAAAAAGAAGAAAAACTTTTGAATTTTGTATTCAAAAGTCTGTACGAACCCTGATCGTGAATCATGAATCATCGGTCATAAGAGATTCTCCCCTTTTTACGGTTATTAACCAAAATTATGACTTTCATCTTCACTAGGCCTCTTCTCTTACACCTGTAGCAGTCACTATGCATACTGCCTGTCACAAGAAATAAGTTTACATACCGTA